CGCCAACAGCCAACAGTCTCAACCATTTTGTATGAGCTATTAATTTTACATTATTGCTGATTACTTCATTAATATTATGAAATGGATGCGCTAGATCGTTGCAAGTAATAACAAGAGCAATTCTGATCTTAGTAGCCTTTCTCTCTCTCTATCTCTCTCTCTCTCTCTCACTCTCTCTCTCTCTCTCTCTCTCTCTCTCTCTCTCCATCAATGTTAGCAACAAAGAAAATGTAGCGCCGAGTGATAAAAACAACGATTAATGAAGATATGCCCTGTTTCTCTCTTTTTGTTTTCCTTTTCCTCTCTCTCTCTCTCTCTCTCTCTCTCATTCTTCGGCTCTATATCTCGTCATTCGGGCTAATATATGTGCGCCGTTTAATCGACTTGATTTTCTTTGCATTGCATATTTCATGCTAATTTAGTATGAGACACTCTTTCTCATTCTACAACAAGAACTTAAACGGAATGCATCGCATAATATGCGACAAATCATCAATTGCACTATGCAGATTGACGATATCGATATTTAAGCGTTCGCCGACCCAAACTCTATCAGTGCAGCAAATGTGTGTGATTTCGTGCAACCGAAGCACGCGTCAATGTTTTGGTACGATCTGAGGCAGACCTCTCGAAGTCACTGAATCAAAAATACAGTTCTGGTCGTTTTGTTTGTGTGTGTACAGAATTTTACGGATGCATATACTTAATATTTCTCCATATTATTTAAATATTAATGCTTTCATTTGTATTGGCGCAATTGCATTTATATGCCCGACAGAGCACAGCACAATCACAAGTAATAGTACAAACTATTTCGTATCAAATAATGATTTATGCTTGTCTATTTTATGATTATTTGTGTGCTACCGTGCTGTTTGCAATCGCCGCCGCCGCGGTCAATACTCACTTCGTTTGAGTATATATATATAGTATTCGGTTCGTGTTTCTACTGCTTTGATCCACTTTATTTCTTCAGTGATTTTTCGAATCCTTTAGATATTTCTTGGATTCGTCGATTTTCTCGACATTTTCACATTCTTTTTTTTTGCCTCGCCGACAAATGCAAAATCATGCTGTCGATTAGAAAATAATAAAGGCTTGTAATTCGATGAAGCATATTCGTGCATAATGAATCTTCGGAGGGAATGTTTGTTGTACAAGCGAACTGTTTTTCCAAACGACCAGCCAACGAACGAAAAAAAAACACCTAAGTAACAGTAAAAAAAATTGAAGAAAATATTCAAATGGCGTGCGAAATTCCCTTACTTATGATTTATGCTTGGATTTTTTTTGCTGTACTATTTGTTCGTTCCGCAGCAAAAGTCAGACGTTGTTCATTCTAAACAACAAAAACAACATTTGATCTATTTTCATTGGTTTTTATAACATTTTTTACACGGTTTCATGACGTTCCATGCATGCCTCGATGGTGTACAATTGGTTGTGATTTTTACGTGATATTGCCCGCAGCCAAACACAATTAAATGACAACAAGTTTACACGCATCGTATCGATGTTGCACACGGATTGAACAAGCACATTCTGCAGGAAGACAAAGAAAATATACAGGGGCAGAACGCGGTTGCCAATACTATAAATATGAAGCAATAAGAGAGAAAAATTCCAGCAACAAATCATCGCGCCAACAATGCCATTGGAAACAGAAAATGTTCGAGTTATTTGGAATATACAAGTGGAAGTGCATTAAAGGGAGCAGAAACAAAATCGTTATACTTTTTTTTCCTCTTTCAAGAATTCGATTTTGTTTTGTGTGTTAAGAAAACAACAAAATGGCATTTGGCTACTCATCGCGTTTGATTATTTTAGCCCGTTGTCGCACTGTGGCTGTGTATATGCCGCACGCTCTTTTCATCACATGAATTGAAAAGTTGTACAATTTCGATTGCAAGAGTTGAGTTGAGCAAAATGGAATTGGTTGTCTCAAGTGCTCTGCGATTCAATAGCAAGCAACGCATTTGCTGCTGTCGCCGGTCTTCATTTGCGCCGCACCGTGTTCGTTAGCTATTTTCGCTGGTTTGTGATACAAAATAAAATCAACAAAATGACACGAGTATTACAAATATGCGGTGCAACTATCCGCCGCCAAAGACAAGCAAATGCCCTATTTAAATTGACATGAGTTGGAACGAAAGAGAAAGAACGATGAGAAAGAAAAATGCATGAGGTGAACAGCACTTTGTTGCCTGCTTGCTTTTCTTTATTTTCACCGGTCCGGCCAGATACAAAGGCCGTCATTTGCTGAGCGTTTTATCGCGCGGCGTTCAAGTTTGTGACTTACAAATGTGCTTTTCTTTCGGTTTCTTGCAAAAGGCGAATCCAGAGCTTGTGAGTGAGTAACATCAACTGTTTTGTTGCCGTGGCAAAGAATCGAAGCACAAAAACACACAGTACTGCATCGTGGGTTTTTCTTGTGCTTGGATTTTGCGACGCGGCTCAATCGTTGGCTCTACGGCCTGAAATGCAAGCCCGTACCGGTTTCGAACACATTGGACTCCCATTATTCCACTACACACTGTTTGAAGCACACATTTTTGTCGTTGTTACTCATTTGCCGCCATATAATTGCATTTTTCTACTTTGCTCCATCTGGGACTTTTCTTGCTATCTCTCTCTCTCTCTCTCTCTCTCTCTCTCTCTATGTAGTTGCATGCTGCAAATGAACGATTTTTATTGAAATATTCCATATTTCCACAGTGTAACTGTCAAGATATTGTTATTGCATAGCGAACACATCGTAAAATGTTCAAGCCAAGGCGAAAACGCGTTGCTGACTCTCTATCGCATTTTCCCTTCCTATCGTTTCTCTAAAGATCGTCGAATCACTGCGGAATTTTACCATGTTCCCGAGTTCGGTTCGTTTATGATTAGCGAAGATAGTTTTTCATGATTTTGTATCAGCTAGATTTTAGTCAAAATTCCAGTCAATTTGCGAACAAAAAGTCAACGAATTTAACTTTTCGTAACTGCAACTGTTATCTTTGGGAATTTAATTTAATGACAGAATCTCATTTGCCGCATGATAAAAATGTGAGTGAGAAAAATGGTGCAATTGTCTTCTTTCTCTCAGAGTGTGTACACTTTTTTCTGTCTTTCTGTATCTTTTGAGTTTTTGGTGTTGTTATTTTTTGCTCAGCGTTACCATTGAACTGCTATTTTCCGAGCTCGAGCTTTTGATTCACGCATTCTTCCATAATTGCCGAATTTAGAGCGAGCAACCGCCATCGCAGTCAAATAGCTAGGGCGTTTTCAATGTAAACGGCTTTCAGTGCGCCCGCGCAACATAAACTAGCAGCAGCAGCACACACAACCGTATCTATCTCCCGTGTGTACTGTGCAGCAAGTGTGAATCGGGCATAGTAGCGAGCACACACACACAATTCGAGTGAACGAGTGAACGAGAGAGAGAGAGAGAGAGAGAGAGAGAAAGAGAGAGAGAGAGCGAAATATATGTACTTTATTCAGGAAAAAAATTCTTTTCGTTCAACAAAATGATTTGCAAGCGCTAAAAAATGTGCATTCGATTTAATTTAATTATGTGTATTTGTTTTTATAATTCCTAAACGCCGCATTTCGTGTGGATGCTTTTCACCTGTACTTGTTCGTTTCTTGTTTCTATTTATCATCCATTCCTCGGTTAGATAAGCGGAATTTTTTGTGGTTGTTGCTGACTTTTTTCCTCTTCTCTCGCTCAAATTGAATTTTGTTTCGACATTCACATCTCTCATGGCGAGAGACACACACACACGATTGTGTGAAATGATGGGAAAAAAATAAAGTATGAGGAACGAAATATTTTGAATGAAAAATATGAAACGTTTTATTGGATAATAGTCAAAGAATTTTTCACTACTGATATATTTTTTCCTCTCTCCTTTCCATCAGTGTTTGTGTGCGTTTTTTTTCTCCCTATTTCAAATGGGTGTGCGTGTTTGTGGAGCAATGCACAACGTTCAAAAGGCATAACTGTTCATCAGTCACTTTCTCAAGTCTTTGGCATTTACAATTGTATGTTTATCGATATGTAGTTATTTAATATTCGTTTAGTTTCTGTGTGAAAAAAAAACTGTATTTTGAAATGTTTGTTGCCATCATCTGGTTCGAAGTTCAGAGATTTGTATTCGATTTTATTGGCTTTTAAAGCATGTGACAATTGGGGAAATGAACGGGTTTCAATCAATATTTATTCTACATCGTTTTTTTAGGTTCTCAAGGAACAGTCATCTCCAATCAAATTTACTTTCCGACTCGAAGCTACACTCAAAACGAATATCAATATTAAGAAAGTACTATTTACGAAGCCATTCGTAGTTTTTCATCGCGTGAAAACCACCGTACACGATAGTATTCGTATATTTTACGATGCATTCGGACATTCTACGAATTGGTATAGTAATTTTGCATCGCATTTTACTACGAATTGGCTTTGAGTGTATTAATTAGAACGGTTACGATTGGTCTTTTGTGTGTCTGTGAGCATTTGATAACAGCAGAGATTACTATGGGATATTTTTATTCATATGGGATAAAAATATCGCATAAAAATAACAGATATTTTTCACGCGTTGCGTTCAACGTTCAATGCGTTCAATGTTCAGAGTCCAAAAATAACAGATATTTTTCGCGCGTTGTGTTCAACGAAACGCATAAATATTCGACGTTTACAAACGACAACACAAGTGATACACACACAGACATTGTGTTGACACACGAAGAGTGTTCAAAGAAAGAAGTGAGCGAAACATGTGCATGCACGCTCCGCGCAGCTCATCGTAAGTGTGAAGAGTATAACGCGAAAAAACAGCGACTCTGTGTGTGCAGAATCGCTATTGTGTATTTATACGTTTCGTTGAACACAACTCGCGAAAAATATCTGTTATTTTTATGCGATATTTTTATTCCATATGAATAAAAATATCCCATAGTAATCTCTGGATAACAGTGATGTAAACGGACAAAAAATAATCAAATGTAGCTCATACCGTCTTTTGGTGGGCTTGAACATGGTGGCGCATAGCTCCCTAAGTGATAACCTGAATATGAATTTTGATGCATCGGCGGAAATGGATAGCCGAGCGCACTTCTAGGACTTGGAAAACCCGAATCTTGTCCACCTTGGCTGCCAAAATGTTGATAGCTGCCGCGGATACCGCCATATCTGTAAAAATCAAACGGAGTCATTACAATCAATTGGTTTCTCTGCATTTCAAACGGATGTTCACTCTATTCTATTTGTTGATGATTCCTAAGTAGATGAAATAAGAAATCAATAAGGCAGAAAACATCACAAGCAAAATCAAATGTTCAAATGTTCAAAAGTTCAGTTACAATTAACTATTAATAATACGAATTTTTTTCGAACATGATTAACTTTTATGACCAAACAAATGTGATATATGTTCTTTCCACTGTATGAACATGAATGAAATGTGGAAAAATCTGTAATTCATCGTTCACAATGTGCTCTGGAAACAATGTTTCGAATTTTATTTCTGCCCCAATTGTTATGCTTGGCTTCAATGTATTCGAAAGAGAAAAGTCGTCCATTATTTGTTGTTGTTAGTTTTCTTGTTTTTCTCGCCATTTCCAATTTTTCTCTCTATATTTTCAAATTGATTCACGTTGCCGATTTCTGTGTGGATTTTGAACGATTTCGTTTGGTATGGTTTGATTTTTAATTTTGTTTTGCAACAAATTCGCTGAAAAAGTGCAACGCTTTTTCTTGCTTCGACAAATAACCGACGTGTATTCGATTGTATACATACATTCTCAACTAGATCTCAAGTTCATTTTGGATTAAATTGTGATGGAAAATATAAAAAAAAGTTTCGAATATGATGCGAAAAACACAGACACACACCGAGCAACTGAAACAATTTCTAATTTTGTGTTTCGTCGCTGTTGTTGTTGGTTGTTTTTTTATTTCTCTCTTGCTGCCGGTGTTTGACTACTGCACACAAGATTTCTAGTGAAATGTCAGATATGCAAAATGAAAATCATTTTTCTTTTGTGCTATAAAAAAAGTAAGAAGATAATAATACAAAAAAGTATCACAACGCGCGAGACCAATTGCTTTTTTGCCCGCATGTCAGCAACGAAAAAAAGGAAAACGACACACGATCATGAGCGAGAAACCATGTGCAAGTAGACAAGTATGCAAATTTTATTTGATTTGAATTTATTATTTCTGATATTACAAGTTTTTCATTCGCGTTGACTCTCTCTCTCTCTCTCTCTCTCTCTCCCTCTTTCTCTCGTTGTTTGGTTTGTTTCGCACCAACTCAGCCAAGTTTGCCTCAACAGAGCTCCAACAAAGAGATAAGATCATTCCTTTGCGTACCCAACTAAAACTGGGTTCGCTTTACAAACACATGTGCAAAGAATACAGAAGTGTGTGTCTGTGGGTGGGTGTGTGTGTGTGTATTCTTTCATTGTTGTATCGCGATTGTTCTTATTTTTTTCGTTTATTTTTTAATTTAGAATAACTCTTTACAGTTTTTCTGTGTCGTAATGAAGGAATGGAAAGATACGGTGCTGCCATGTCCATGTGCATAAATATCAATTTTACGAACAACTAATGAGATGCATGTAAATATGAAAAATAAATAGCAAGTTTTTCTTGCTTCTTATTTTTCTTCATAGCGTTGTCTTAAGAATCAGTTCTTCTTCTTCTTCTTTGAGTAGAAAAAAAATTACATTAATTTTGATGTTGTTGTTACATCCATACCACAAAATACATGACAAAAGTGCTCGGTTTTCATGGAATAGAAATGTAATTGGAGTATCGGCCATCGAAGACTGATGACATCTTCTTGAGAATGAAAAAGGATCTCGAATTCGAAACCAAGGGGGAAATATCGAATTAAAATACCTCGTAAATGTGCACAAATATGTGACATATTTGCAAATATATTTGCGTGAATATTCAAGAATGGCATGTATTTTCGACAGAGGAGGTGCTACTGGCGTAGAAGTCAGTATCGCAAATATGGCAAATATTCACGGTTGATACAAAAATGAATAAATATTGTGCGAATATACCATACAAATAAAGGGCAAATATACATATTTGCAGCTGAATCTTTCCTCTTAGTTCGAAACATTCTGGGACGAGTTTCTTTAACAAAGAGAAATAAAAACGTTTGACTCAAACCAGCTAGTCCTCAAACAGAGGCAGTCCGCACTAGGTGTTATACAAAATCTGAGTGTGCGTGCACCGAGTTGATCATAGCCAGGAGCTGAAACGAGTGGTAGTGCTGGTCTAATCGCTACCATCTGGCCAAACCACATTCATTCATACCAGAAAACTAACCGAAGCTGTGATGTTGCTAAGCATCCTCCATCCGTAAGTTTTATGATGTATTTTTTCTCTCCATTTTTTGGCACTTTTCTTCACTGTTCAACAACAAACAACAACAACTTTTCCTCTTTAACAAAACCATATTATGAATAGGAACGAAGCAATATTACTCTTAATATCTTGATTAAAAATCGAATGTGCGCACTCAACAATGTTGTTACATTCATGAAAGCTGAGAAAAACGGTGCAAATCGTAATCTGTACGGGTTTCTTTTTATTTTTCGTCGACATGGGCCGTAGAGAGAAGTAATGAGCACTAAAATGAACACTTTTTTGCCAGTAGCTAGATAGTTGTGTGTATCATCGAATGTGAAATAGTCGCAAATGAACAACGAATGCAACGCGAGAAATTAAAGAAGAAAAACTGCGCCACACTCATGGCATTATGGTTATTAGCAAGATGTGTCGAAGATTTCGATAATAAAACCATAAACAATTCCAAGCAAATAAAAATCAGTATGCACCGTTTTTAAGACCACTTATTTTTTTTATGTTCTCTGTGTGTGTATTCCTGTTGCTAGTTCCCTTTTTTGTGCAGTTGCCCGGCTTTTTCTGTGGTTTCGAAACAAAACAAACGAAAAGAAGCCACGAATGCACCGTAATTGGGTAGGAGTCTTTTTTATCATTGTTTTACTACATTGTTGTACTTATTTTATAGCCGCTGGTAGTTTTGTGCGTAAATTTGGCGCAATTCTGAATGCAAAATTTTTATAAGCTGATAATTTTCGGTTGCTTGCGCACGAATTTTAATTGAAATTTGTTTTTATTTTGGTTTGGGTTTTCAGGTGGTTCAATTAATTTTAGTTTTGCTTTGTTACCAAATGTGGCACTTGTATAATACACATATTTTTGTTTGTCTAATCGATAAAACATTCTACAAAACTGAGAGAGAATAAAAACTCAACATCAAAGAATAACAGCCCAAAAAAACCAATCAAATTACTCTACGCTAAAATGATGCCAAGTTTAAGTAGTTCAATTTATTCTACACTGTTTAGACGCCCGCCAAGTTAAAAATGTATTGAAGATTCGGCGTAACTTCGGTGTGGAATAAATTTAATAACTTGAACTTAAATTATCAATATGCAACGCCACCTATATGTTAAGTTAAAAATATGCTGGACAAACGGTGTAGCTTCAGAGTAATTTAACTTAAGTTGAATACATATATTTGTATTACAAATAGTATTGAACTTAATTTATTCCACACCGAAATTACGCCGAATCTTCAATACATTTTTAACTTGTGATTGGTTTTTCTTGGGAGTACATTTTGTTTAAATTTTTGGCGAATATTTGAAAAAAAAAGGAGTAGACAAGAGAAGACAGAGAAAAACCGGTCGAAATGGATGAACACATAATAAAAACTCTTTTTTTCAACCATTTTTCACGGTTTTTGCGTGCATTGTTAATCTACTGGTGCGGAAAACACGCCTGTGAATTAAAATTTCCGGTAAGCTTTTAATTTTTTTTTTTCTGTTTTTTAGTTTTCTTCTTCACTTGCCTTTACGCGTTTTTCAAGAATCACAACTATTCTCTCATAAGATTTTCCATCCACAACTTCGTTTAACAATTGCTTGCTTGTAAAAAACTTCATTTGTTCAGGGCGCTAAATTATTCATGAGTTGAGAATTCAGTTGGAGACGACAACACTGTTGCGACGATAGCAAGAAAGATGTATATAACAATGAATTTTGGAAGGAAACAATTTGAAAAGCAAAAAAATATATCTCTTTCTAATGGAACATTGCATTCATAATTGATACTGATTTGTCTCCGATGTGAAATTGTTATATTTTCGCCAATTTCTCTGCATTTTCAGAAAGAGCACCTATTCAGAGCGATTGAGAAGCATACCAAAATGTATTTGCCTGAGTGATTTGCCTTTGTTGTATGCTTGAAAAATAAATTGAAATTACTGCCGTCACATTCATTGCCGTCGCCTTTTGTCGTCGCTGCCAAACTACGGACGACAAATAAACTCTTATCAACAATCAATGTGATTTCAACAAAATTATAGTCCAAGTTTACACAAATAAACCAAAGTTTATTTACGGAAAATATTGGTAATTGATTTGAAATTCACTTTGAAGTTGAGGGATTTATTAATGAATTTATTCAAGTTCACATTTTAAAGTGAAACAATGTGTTTCCTTTCCTTCAGCCCGTGTCGAATGGCACACCGTTCGTTTTTTTTTCTTCATTTAATTAATTCATAAGTGAATTATAAAAAAATGATCATCGGTTTTCTCCCTTTGGTTTCAGTCGTCCAACGAGCGAGAGAGAGAGAGAGAGAGAGAGAGAAAGAGAGAAATTAACAAATGAACACATTTCTTCCGAATGTTTGAGCAGTGCGTTTTTGAATAATAGATGACACCGACACAAATCGTCCAACGAGGAGCAACAAGCGCACATGACATGAAACAACACACCGTTGTTTCGCCGTCGATAGTCACCTAACACAAACACACGGCTTATTCTATACCTTTCTGTGAGTTTTGTTTTTTGTTTTTAAATAATTCAATAACTTTTTGTCTACACATTTTCTTGTTCCTAGTGTGTTCATATCTTCTTATTTCTATCTTCTCCTTTTGTCCCTAACTCTGAATGAATAAGCGATCGCGAAAAAAGGAAAAGTCTGTAACAATGATCGAATACTAACCCGTGCTGTTGCAGTTCGACGAATGCGGATTTATTTGAGGCGGCTGTTGCAACAGTTCCGCCATCCAAATATTTTGGTGTATGCGGCACGTCCGGCGTATCCATGATGCCGGAATGTGGTGTTCCTGGGTTGCCCTCGTAAGGGCTTCCCAAATCTGTGAAGTTGAGCGTGTTGCCGCTGATCGTTGCCACTTTATCTAAATGTATGGTTAGGCTGTTCTAGAAAACGCCACGCAGAACAAATCAATCAATTACACTGATCCGTTTTCGTAACGAACAAATCAAGCTGATCGCGGGTGTTTGTGTGTGGGTGTGTGTGTGTATGTTTGACGGGCCGGCTCTGAATTTGACGTGCGCTCTCGCTCACAACCACCAAATAATCAAATCAAAAATTACACCGTTTAATAAATTGATGCACACAAAATGCCGAAATTCACTTTTGAGTTCGGTTTAGCGCCAAAATGATTACAAATACAAAAATAAAGCGTGTGTATTCGAATACAAATTTAGTCGCACCGTGAACCCGAAACCTTGTTTGAAGTCGTCGTTTCTGACACCTTTTTTCTCCTTCTTTATAATATGCTGTGTTTAATAACAACTGACGATAATTTGTAAACTATTCCTCTTCTTTGGATGCTGTTTTTGCTGCCGCTTTTTCGGTGTCCTCAATCTCTTCGTTTCGGGGTTTTCTTTCCTTTTGTTCAGTCTCTTTGCTTCACCACTCACCGTCGTCGTCGTTGTTTCGCTATTTATTCCTTTGCTGGCGTTTTCCTGTGTTAGTTTTTCTATTCTCTTTACTTTTCTTGATATCTTCTTCGTTCTTCAATTCAATTTGGGTGAGAACTATAGACTACCTGCTGTGAGATACCATTCAAGCGGCAGGATATCGAGAGCATTTACACGTGGTGGGTACAATATCAAATGTGTTAAAAGCGCTCTATATTCAACGATGTACACATCACTCTTCTTCGTTTGCAGGCACACTCAATTTGCGGGCCTTAATAAAATACGGTAGTGTTGTTTGGCGAAAAAAAAACTCGATTAATTATTTCCTTCAAAGTTCCCTTTTTTTCGAGTGCCTTTTCATTTGTATCCAATTCAAATTATGCGTTGCACGGAGTCGGCTCATACAATTTTAACGCTTTTTACAATGTTCCGCTTGGTTTTATTCTTCGATCATGCGTTTCGATATAGTTATAAACGCGTTTGATTTAAGGAATGGCCCCACTTATATGTAGTTTGATGTAGCAGCTCCTAGTTGACGTATGCACATGAAATATTCAAAAAATTTCTATCACCGACATGTGTACACAGTTGACTGACCTCATGCACTGATTCTCCGAGAAAAAAAAATGAATGAAAATCAAAACAAATAACACTTTTTCCCGTTGTTTTAATTCACACCATGAGATTCAAATAAATTTGTCACAAGTCTATTTCCTTTTTAAGTCTTGCGCGTTCAAGTTTTCCTTTAAATGTTCTTAATTCAATGAAATTCATAACACATTTTGTTGTTGTTCGGTCGATTAACTTCTTGTTATTTGTTACTCTCTTTTGAAATGGTTCTATTCAACAAATTAGGAAATTATTTGGTTATTTTGATTTCAGCAGCATTTATAGAAAATTGCTCGACGGCACGCACCAAAAATTTATTCATACTATTTTTTTCCACTTCTCTTTCTCTCCCTCTCTGGTTTCTATTCAATCAAAACTAATAACACAATTATCCGTCGCACAAAACATTTGCTGAATTCAGAATCTCAATTGATGGGCAAATTCAGATTTTGAAATGCGTTTTTGCGTGTGCATAATCGTTGCAAACTTTTAAATGATGATATGATTGGCGTTTTTTATGATGACAGTTTGTCTCTTGAATGCACCAAAAAAATTAAATGATCACGGAATCGTTTGGTTTTACGTTTATTGACTTCACTCTTCGTTGTAATAGCGAAGGAAAATAACAATTTCACGCACTGTTCAACTTTATCATTGATTGAGCAATGAGCATTCTTCACTTTCGTATATCCTAGTTGAGAAATTGCTCGGTGATCGAAACTTTTTTCTATGATAAGTGAACTCCTGATTGGTGATTCAATGATCTGTCTACAGCGATTACGATAAACAATTTTCACAAATATAAATAAAAGAGATGTGAATTTGATTTTTCAATTGATAAAATTCACACCCGATGTGTCAATCAATGCCACCTCAATTTATTAAGGGCTATAATTAGTGTAATCACACAGATACAATAAATACCAAACCAAAATGCCCACGGTAGCAGCCAGAATGAGATAACTGACTATCCGTGAAGAAAAATCCGTTTTCGTATCATAAAAAATATTTGATACTTTTTCTAAATCCAAATCGTTCGTTTGCAATTTTGTTCTCGCTTTTTCTTAGTTTTCGGCACTATCAAATCGTGTTTTTCTCTGCACAGCAGAGATTGATCGGAATCGTATGTCACTTGAATGATATTTTTCAATGTTATTCAAAAATGTTTTTGCCATTCATTTTTACACACATCAAGTTTTTGTTCGGGTTGTTGTGTTGTATGACAATATTTTCATGAATTGTTCGCGGCAACAACGAAATGAATAAGATGTGACACACGAATGTGCTTTGTCCGGTTTTTGTATTGAATGTCGTACAAAATATGTATTATTAGCTAATTATGGTTTTGGTGTGTTCAATTTTCGTCGCAACTTGTCGACGTTGCTGTGTTGTGGCGGCGTACACAATTGGCGGTATTTTGTTATTATTATTCTCTGTTTTTTCAGTACTGAGGATCAATAATGCAGCTGCGTTGACAATGATGATAATAATGATGATCGCGACGACAACTAACACCGTAACACACTTTGTAATTCACAATTTCTTAACTTTGTTCTCGTCACTCTTTATTGAACTTCAGAAATTTCTTTGGCTCCTTTCAACGATGTATATATCCTCTCTAGCTACACACTTGTATACTGGCTATAATTATACAGTGTGCATTTTGTCGATGCAATTCATTTCGGCAGACAATTTTTTTTGTTCTTTTTTTTCGTGCTTGCGACCATACAATTTTGGCTTATGCACACTGGACTACTGATCCCACTGAGTATACTCAATTTTATTGACACGACGAAAAAAATTATAAACGCCAAAAAATGAGAACCAGAAAACAACTCAGTAGTAACGATAAGTAACCAAATAAATATATAAACAACCAAAAACGATATATAGTTTTGTTGCGCGCGACCAACCACGAACAAAGTGCGTGAAAGACTAGTGACTGCGATGCGATGAAATTATGAAAAAACCCGTGAAATACACAGAGAGCGGCTCGTTGTGTGCTTGTGTCTTGTTTCGATGATTCGGGCTTTTGTTGTATGCGTGCGCAAGCAAAAAAGCAATGCACAACACACAGCACGTAGGGCATCGGTGTTCTCTTTTTTTCGGTGTGCTTTTGTCTCTCTTGTTTGCTAAGCATCGATGCGCATACACAGCCGTTGCATGTTCTCTTGTATTCGAGTGTCTATCGTTCTGCTTTCGAGGGTGTATGTGTGTATGATGTGTATGATTATCGATACATTGTCACGCACACACATACACACATTCGCATCACTCGTGCTCGATACCGTAGTAGCAGCACAAACACTGCGACTGGATATTGTACAAAAGCACACACATACTTCGACCCGGGATTTGATGGGTGCGCAACGATTGGCTCACATTTTTATTGCTCTCTATAGAGAATAGGCGGAGACTGTCGATATGAATATGGGCATATCTGGTAGCGTATTTGCACAGCACACGCAGACCGCAAAGCAACCGAGTGAATAAGATAGATGGACTGGGTGGCAGCGCAATGCAACCTAAAAACGTGAAAAACACGCATATCAAACACCCTTCTCGCCCATTCAAATAGAAAGAATGACACATATATATATATATATATATATATATATCGTATTCAACTACGGTGAGATCAGCACTCTTATCGCGTCCAGTTAGCTTCGGGTCACTCCAATCTATTTGCTGCAAACGACAATATTTCAATTCAACTACCACTTACAATTTCAGTTTTGCTTTTTGAAGTCTATTAGTCCAATTCGGATTATCTGCCGATTGTACGAAGACAAAAGTGATTTCTCAACAAATTTAAATTTCGGGTTTGCGTTTAAATTCGTTCAATAGTGAAAAGTCTTGAAATTTACCAAACCAATTCGTTGATAAGAACAATTGAATGACATAGCTGCGGCCACCGTCGAGTGTCTATAAACTTAACCTTCCGTCGAATGTGTCTCTCTACGCCACTGGATTTGCAGTGGGTGTGGCCATTGTGAGTTTCAATGTTGGCATTGTTGTATTCTTCGAGTGTTTCTCTACATCGGTTCATCTCGTTTTGTTGCATTGCATGGGCACACATCCAGCTCAAACGATATCTCGTTTTTTCCAATCCATTTCAATCATTTGTTGTACAATAGCAGAACCTTTTGCGCCAAGTTGAAAGATGCGTCAAACACACAATATTTATATTTATACATATCTACTCATACATGCAGCACGCACGGTGTGTATAGTTGTGATGTGGTTTGAGATGTGCTCTGGCTGTGGATAGCATTACAACCGCACACACTCCATTTTCAACACAGCACACATACATTACATTTGTATATGTCTTGTTCGGTTTCTTTTTGAAATGTTCGTTGTCGCTGTTGTCTCTTGTAGAACGTTTCTTTCGCATTTGTCAATACTCGTTTTTGTTATAGAATCACACAAGATGTGTTCTAACAACAAAACGGTCGCACCGTAAAATGCACTGCGCTCTCGTCGGCTAACGAAAACGAATTCTAAAACAATATATACATGCATAAGCAGTTCAACCATTTTTCCTTGAGAAAGTCTCAATTGTCTTGCATCTTACTCAAATTATATTGATGAGTGCTGTGTGTGTGTGTGTGTATTTTTCTCTCGTTGATTTTTCATTAGCTGTGTGAGCGAGAACCGCTTGAGCTGAGCTCTGCACTTGATGAGGAAACCGGAAAGTTTTGCAAAACGACTTGATGCAATAATGAAAGAGAGTACAGAAAAAAAGAACAATGCACCGCCAAAAGCCAAGAAAACAACAAAACATAGAAAAAGACAAAAAAAAAACAAAACACAGTCAACGTTCTAATGTAGAGAGAATATATTTGGAATGGAGTATAAAGTAAAATTGTGATTGAAATTCGATATATAATTTTGCTGTTTTACAAAAAGCGTCTATGGCAAAATTCAACTGTGTGTTTGTTTCTCTTTTTTGTGCTGTCTTCATTTCATATAAAGAGCAAGAATACGAGAAAAAAAGGAAGAGATAGGAGAGAGAGAGAGAGAGACACTTTATTATTGTCAATGACATTATTCAAGCGATTTAATCGGCGAACACACTGTCACATTGCTTTTGTGTGCACTTTCGCCTCGGATATATTTTGTCATGTGGGTTTTTTTTTGTCTCTGCTGTCATTATCTCAACCTTAAGCATAATTACACCAAACTGTGAAAGTCAAAAGACATTCAATTGATATATTTTTTTCTGCTCAATTTTTCCCTCTATGTATTGGGACGTGCTTTTTTCATTCTTTCCATTTCAAAAAGCCCAGGCGGGAAATCGGACAAAGAATCAATATTCATATGTTTGCCATGGATTTTAATGTCTTTTTTATTCTTTGGTTACGTGAAAATGGGTAGAATACCCGGGAAATCGACCGCCGAAAAAAAAAACTGCACACATTGAGAACAACAACAAACACAGTCGAAAAAAAACAGCACGAAGTCACTACTAAGTCGGCTCTCTTCAAATCACTTGGCGGCGGCGGTGGCGGCGGATGAAAACAAAAATACAAACCAACTTATGTCATAAAACTTTAATTGGTATGTTGCGACTGTGGTTAAAATCCATCAAACAGTTGTTTATGGTTTATTTAACATCGCATTAACTTAAATTACAAAGAACACACTTAAAGTTTGCACACGATGTCTATAATTCAACTGTTAGAATGAATGGTGGTGGTGTTAACCAGCAAGCGAGCGAAAGACACACACTATCATAATGCCGATTCATTAAAAATAATTTATTGATTTTCACCACTTTATCGCCGGTGTTTCTTTGGTAAATTTTTCTGCATAAATCGGTGCAACTCAGCCGTGCGCTAATTAATGCGACGAGCGAGAGCGAAAAAAAAGAGTTTCCAAACGAGATTTGGCATAATTTTTTCGGCACATTTCCAGTAACTGTACTATCACTATTTAATTAATCGAAAATTTGCATTGAATTTTCAATTTATGCTCAGGAGAGTCAGCACACTCATTTCATGTCAAGAACGGTGCAAGAGCAGCGATACAATAGCAACAGACGATGGTTCGTCATTGGCAGGTGCTTCTTCTAGCATCCAATTGTAATTACATACGCCCAAATTCAACAACAAGCGACCAACGTCGAGACACACCGAATGCGGTTTGGTGTGAATGTCTTGAGTGAAATTGGAAAATATAAAGTTGATCAAACCGCAGATTCGGCAGACAGTTCACGTCGACGACGTCTCTAACGTGTCAAAATGTGCAGAAAAGAAATTTACGATTGCGGTTACAGATAGAATTAGATTTGACTAACAGTTTTCATACATAATGAATGTTTCAGTGCAAACAGACCAGTTCGTAAGCAAAACGTCAATAATTGTGTTTGGAAAATCGATTTTTGACAAATTCCAGTATTTTCCTATGAAAAAAACCAGTCAATAACAGATAGCCTGGGATATATGCTAAGCATAGAAACTCAGCAAGCTGAGATTGGTACATTTAGATTTTGTGACTTCCCTGCCATGCAAATTCATGTGATAAGATGAATCTGGTACACATTTTTCGATGCTTTCCATGAAATTTTCTGTCATAAAATCATCTTATCACATGAATTTGAATGGCAGAGAAGTCACAAAATCTAAATGTACCAATCTCAACTTGCTGAGTTCCTATGCTCAGCATATATCCTCAGCTATCTGTCATTGACTGAAAAAAACTAATCATTTCGAAGGAATATGTATGTCTTTTCAAATCAATTACATTGTATCCAAGTCATTTCTTCCCGATATACCACCCATTTAAAAGCTATGCGCAGCCCATATTCAAATAATTAAGGTTACTTCAATTGTAATTCCATCGATCCAGTCCATATTTTCTAGTAGGATTTTTTTCGGGGTTTCCCCGATATGACAACAAACGTACAAAGACTTTTTGTAGACTTAAAATAAATAGAAAAAGCACACGAGATTTAAGAGCGAACGGGAACGGAAAATACGATAGAACTAGCTTACGTTGCTTATCGCTCTTATTATACTGGAACTACATGAAACTATACGAAAATGTAATTTATGGAATTCGGTGTATTTTATTTATCCATAAATAACTTGAGCCGACATTTTACATGCAATTAGCAGCCTCTAATATAGGTATTATGTACACTAAACGAACTCGGGATACTTCATTTTGCTTCGTTGCCGATCTCTCTTTTGTTTCACGTGCGCACATGGTATTGCTGATTTTTTTGGTTTTGGTTCTGGCTGAAGCCAAGCGGTTGTTGCAGTTTCTCTCCGCTACATTTTTGTTGGCTTCTCGTGATTCTATTATTATTCCATTTCTTTCATTTGTTTTTGTTTTATTCGAGGCAAAAATGAAATACTCATTTTTGGCCGCGTACTTTTGCTTGGAAAACTTATTGACGCTTCGCAAATCAAATACGCTGTTTCGTTGGCAAATACATGCCAAATGGTTTCAAGCGAGAGCGCGGTTTGAACTTCGTACGTTGCATAGAAATAGAGGATGAGAGCTTTGGTTGTTTTCCATTTTCAATTCGTTTGGGTTGTTTATGTTTATTTGTTTGCAATGGATTGAACTTGAGTGTGGCTGGTGTATATATATATATATATGTGTGTGTGTGTACGTGTGTGATGTTTTCCACGAAATATAGACCAGAAAGAAAACCAATTTGTTGAAACCATGACTCGAAATGGATGAAAGTTGGTGGTGTATGCAGCAATCGACTTCGGCCACTTTCACACGAACTAAATACATATCGCGTTGATTCGAATACAGAAAAAAAACAACTCAAAATGAAGCTTTTTAACGTGTTTTGCTGGCTTACAAAGTACGACGGTGATGAAATATTAGTTTGTGTATCGAACAAGATAGGCAAAGTGTTTGAGTTGTTGAACAAAATTGTATCTGATTTGCCGATGCGAATTGTGTACGATGA